GCTCTTAAATCTATCTATGTATTTTAGGGTGCATCTAGACTACCTGGCTCCATCGACGAAGCCATGTAAAGTAGTTTACTCGACATAGTCAATGAAGCGAGGATTTAAATAATCCCCGCTGCATTAAAATAAAAATAGCCGCCGCGCTGTGCCGACGATCAGCTGATCCGGCACCGCGTGGCAGTCTAGATGCAGTGCGGTTGACAAGGGAAGCCTTTGTCGACCACTCCAGTATGCCTTGTTTCACGGCTTTCTTTGTCAACTGCATCTAGACTGCCGTACTGTGCCAGATCAGCTGATTGTCCACACAGCGCGTTGGTCATTTTTATTTTATTGAAGTGGGGATTATTCAAATCCCCGTTTCATTGACTATGTTGAGTAAACTACTTTACATGGCTCCGTGGATGGAGCCATGTAGTCTAGGCGCAGCCTTCGAGATCTGCGCATCTGCGTGTGTGGCTGTTTGTGCAAGAACTCCTCCTCAACGGGAAGAGCGAGGACTGCCACATTTGGTAGGCAGCATCCTTTTATCATGAAAGCAAGTTGGTTTGGTTGTGCCAGGAAAACAGGTTGTGCCTGGAATTTGATTGTTTTCCATAACATGGAAAGGGAGGGGCAGAGCGAGGAGGGATGTGATCCTCACAGTCACCACTAGGGAGAGCGAGCACAGGGGAGAGCTTTCCTGCATCTGGGGGCAGCGGCACCACCAAGGGACCATCATCCCTGCCACTGGCTCAGGGAAGTGGTCTCCCTGACTCAAACCCTTCTCCCTGGCTCTCGATCCCAGCTCCGGACCAGGGGGAGAAAGCGCCCTGGCCCCACTGCCGTGGTCCCTCCCAGGAGCACCCTGGGGATGGGCAGTTCAGCTCCAGCTGTCTCCCACAGGACCCATGGGCGCTTCCCCCCCCACCTGCACTGCTGGGCTGATAGGTCATGTTCTCTAGACCTTTAATCATTCTTGTTGCTCTTCTCTGGACTTTCTCCAATTTCTCCACAACTTTCTTGAAATGTGGTGCCCAGAACTGGACATTATACTCCAACTGAGGCCTGATCAGTGCAGAGTAGAGTGGAAGAATGACTTTTCATGTCTTGCTCACAACACTCCTGTTAATGCATCCCAGAATCATATTTGCTTTTTTCACACTGTTGACTCATATTTAGCTTGTGGTCCACTATGACCCCTAGATCCCTTTCTGCCATATTCCTTCCTAGACCATCACTTCCTATTCTGTATGTGTGAAATGGACTGTTCCTTCCTAAGTAGAGTACTTTGCCTTTGTCCTTATTAAACTTCATCCTGTTTACCTCAGACCATTTTTCCAGTTTGTCCAGATCATTTTGAATTATGACCCCATCCTCTAAAGCACTTGCAATCCCTCCCAGCTTGGTATCATCTGCAAACGTAATAAGCGTACTCTCTATGCCAATATCTAAATCGTTGATGAAGATATTGAACAGAAGTTGTCCCAAAACCGACTTCTGCAGAACCCCACTTGTTATGCCCTTCCCGCAGGACTGTGAACCGTTAAGAACAACTCTCTGGGAATGGTTATCCAGCCAGTTATGCACCCACCTGATACTACCCCCATCTAGGCTGCAGTTCTCTGGTTTATTGATAAGACGATCATGTGAGACGAGACAGCGCTTGGTCCTGCCGTGGGTGCAGGGGACTGGACTTGATGAGCTCCCGAGGTCCCTTCCAAGACTCCCCCACTGCCCAGGGCTTTGGGAGAGGAGTCTGAGCATGGTGCGGAGGCAGCCCCCCTGCTGCTGTCATTTATCCGGGCGCAGGGCAGGCGCATTCCATGGGGTTACACCTGACATTCCTGGGGAGTGGTCCAGCTGCTGGGGGTGTTTCTAACCGGTCTCCCAGGCCACGAGAGAGCCTGCTCCCTCGGCAAGGGGGAGCAGTAATTCGCTCTTGGTAATGACCCTGCTGGCTCCTCTCCCCTGGGAAGGGGCTGCAGAGCCGTTATCCGGGCGCAGGGCAGGCGCATTCCATGGGGTTACACCTGACATTCCTGGGGAGTGGTCCAGCTGCTGGGGGTGTTTCTAACCGGTCTCCCAGGCCACGAGAGAGCCTGCAGGGCCGAGGAGGCCAGCTCTCCTGCCCACACAGCACTGGGGTGTGTCTAGGCTGCATCTCTCTGTCGGCAGAGAGCTGTAGATTAGACACATCGAAATCGCTAATGAAGCGGGGATTTAAATATCTTGTGCTTTATTAGCATAAAAATGGCCACCGCTTTTTTCAGCACGGAGTGTTGCCGGAGAAAAGCGACAGTGTAGAGGCTGATCTTTCGAAAAATAAAGCCTTTTTCGAAAGATCTCTTATCCCTCGAGAAATGAGGTTTATAGGATCTTTTGAAAAAGGCTTTATTTTTCGAAAGATCAGCCTCTACACTGTCGCTTTTCTCCGGCAACACTCCGTGCTGAAAAAAGCGGTGGCCATTTTTATGCTAATAAAGCACAAGATATTTAAATCCCCGCTTCATTAGCGATTTCGATGTGTCTAAGGGCTAGACAGAAAGAGGCCAGCTGGAGCGGTTTAGGGCCAGTGAGAGCCCAGCTGGCAACTATCTAGGGCAGCCCAGTTGGCTTGTGGAAACCAGCTGAACCCATTAGGGGAGTGAAAGCCCAGCTGGCCTGTATAAATAGAGAAGCACAGGTTACTTAGGGAGGCCAGTGGAGGGCTGATTGCAGGGGAAGCAGGAGCTCCTTGGAGGGGGACAAGCTGGTAAGGGCCAGCAAACGCTGGAAGTAGGCCAGCCAAGACTCCCCTTGACTAGGGGCTGGGGAGGCAGGCTCCGAGGGAGTGACCCATTACCTGGTCACTCACAGGGCCCTGGGCTGGGACCCGGTGGAGTAGGGTGGGCCCGGGTCCCCCTACCTGGGGTGCGCCCCGCTACAACAGTTATAAACTGCTTTGTGGACTCGGCCTTGCTTAAAGGGTCAGCTATATACGACATTGTTGCCGATGATGAGCAACCCGTACAGACTGTAACTTGCCCTGAGAAGGCCCATTACCTGGTCACTCACAGGGCCCTGGGCTGGGACCCGGTGGAGTAGGGTGGGCCCGGGTCCCCCTACCTGGGGTGCGCCCCGCTACAACAGTTATAAACTGCTTTGTGGACTCGGCCTTGCTTAAAGGGTCAGCTATATACGACATTGTTGCCGATGATGAGCAACCCGTACAGACTGTAACTTGCCCTGAGAAGGGCTAGATGAGGACAGTCAGGGGGCACTGAGGCACACTGGGGTGTGAACCCCTTGACAC